GGTAACGGTGGCAGTGAACCCTTTGGCACAGGGGGTGACACACACACACAGAGCCGATATCGGCGCTCCAGAGACTTACTAGCCACCTAACAAGCCTTAGAAAGAAAGGGAAGGAAACGACAGAAAGAGCAAACGAAGAGGGCAAGAGAGAAAGATTAGTTATGAAACCTTCTAGTTACTGACTACTTAGCCGAATGAATAAGGTGCAATAGTTAGCGAGCGGGACTTTAGTCTTAGACCGCCCGGCTAGGAAAGACTTGAGTGCGACTTCCTTCTGTTACCCTAATTAGAGGGTGGGATAAGAAGTGTGAATTCGCGCGCAAGGCGGGGGGGGTGTGTGGCTCTAAGGCACTGCCGTAAACGGCGCTCCCTTGACTAAAGCTTCACCTGAAACCTAAAAGCCTCGAGCAAAATCTTTGGAACCTCGAGAACACCGCTGATGCACAAATCCGTAAGCCCGGCGGCGTCAAATCTCCGTAAACTCGGCAGTTTTGTGGTCAGAAGATTCATGGGGTGAGACACTTAATCAGCAATTAAGTGATAATCCAACGCGTGCAGAAAAACGCTAAGTCGAAATGTGATCCACGGTGGTTTCGGCGCTCCCTTGCGGGAGAGCACACCCTGCACCCAGTGGGACGACAGAGTGGCACATTGGTTTTCAGCTACCTCTATTCCACGAAAAAATGGATGAGGGAAACGCAAGGTGAAGCGGTCAGCACACTTGAAATGTTGAACAAGTGTTCATGCTGCGTGACTGCGGATTCTAGTTACTGAGTACGTAGCCGATCGAATTATCGCCGTGCATAGAAACCTGTTTTGGGATATAGCATGCAGAACATTGCAGAACCACCATGGAACCAAAAAGGAAGAGTGGAGTCACAGCGTAAACAAAAGTTTCAGCAGGTACGTGGAAATGGCGTCCCATTTGCATATCCTCGGGTGCATCGCCAGCTTCGTTGACCAGGCGACGATGCATCCTGCCTGGTCCCCTGCCTCTTTTTTAACCCCAAGGGAAATTGAATTAATTTGCAATGTGTGGAAACCTTAGAAACAGGTGGTGACACAAACACACACACACACCGCTTGATCACGGCTGGATCCTCTGCTCCTCTACCCTCACTGACTCTGCTCCCAGTCAGACCGAGCCACTCGCAAGGCCCGGCGCTGCCCCGAGACGCGGCGCCGCATGGGCACGTCGGGGGTCCTGCGGTCGACGCAGCGGCACCGAGTCTTCTGGGGTGACGGTGGTCCAGAAGGAAGAGGGGGTGAGGAGTCAAGGCCATTTGAAAGAGGATGAGATATAAGATGTAGATGATCTAACCATCTAATCCCTCATGAGAACCAGCATGGTTGCGTATATACTATATAATATCTATACCTTTGCTCCTCAGACGGTTCCAAGCTAAATCTTGTTGATCGGAGACAGGATGTGCTCGTCTTCACAATCTCCAGCTAATAAGGGCTTGGATCCAGTAGATTCGTTACACTAAAAAGAGACATCAAACGAAGGGTCATCTTCCAAACTCTGGCGCAGCTTCCACACTCCTGGAGTTGCGCCATTGCTCTGACCTCAAGAACTCCCGGGGCTCTGACAGCAAGGCCGCGGCAAACCTGATGGCCAAATCAAGGAGGATCATTGTCTCACGATAGGGAGATCCCCAACCTGCTCCTTTGCTAACAGTTCATTGAAGGGATGCTTGTTTGGTCAAGGATGACTGGAGGAACTGGCAAGGATTGATCGATTGAAGCCAGCTCCGCGTTCAGAAAAGCCAAGCTGGTACATACCGGTCCAGCCAGGAGTGCGGTGTTCAAAATGGGCCCTGTGCTAATGAGCATGGAAGGATTCAATTTCAAGAAAGTAATGACATCACAGGAAAGGCAAAAATAAGATTAGCATATATTAGCAAGAGGACCATGACAACTGTGGACCCACGCCTCCTGCAAAGCGGTGAGAAGGAAAAACACGATGGAGCCAGATGCGTACAAAAATTACTTTGTCGATGCTTGACTGCCACATGTTTGGGTCAAACTTTCAAACAAATCCTTTTGACCAACAAATCCTCAATACTGTGTACATACATCTCTGTAAATACTCTATGGGCAAGAAGCTACTAGTAGCTCCTGGCATTGCTACTAGTATCAAGAAGCTGCTAGGAACAAAGGGCATCCCTACTAGCTACTAGTAGCTCCTGGCCTTATATACTAGACAAACCAGTTCTGTTGCAAACGTGACAAACGGGCAACATCCAGCTTCTCGAGGTGAAGCCCTTCTCCGACCACACTTGGAGTTGGTGAATCTGGCGGTGGCCCCCCCTCGCAGTTGAGAACTACTATGGATAAAACATGGATAACCCCCCAAAAAAATAACAATGGGACCTCGCACCAAAACCAATCAGCTACCGATGCATTCTGGTTTCCGAGCATGCAGCCAAATGGCCGTTGAAACTCCTGCCGTGCGAGGTTTCGTAGATGTCCTGGCCACAGACTCACACTGCCATGCGTTAAAAACGGTGGCTTCAGCCACTTGGACCTTAAGAAGAGTACTGCAGCAGAGTCAGAATCCTGAAGACTCCACTGATCCAAACACTCTCATCACATTGACGGGATTCATCTGCAAACAGCTCCAAAACATCCAGCTGCTTCCCTTCCACTGCGGCCTTCTACCATGAAGCTGCACAAGCGGATGAAGGTCCAGATTGAGTAGCATACCTAGGCTTCTTGAGTCTCTGCGGAAAAACAGGGGAATTAGATTTCTTCATGCATAGCCCAAGTCTTTAAGTTGACAGTGCGATCATCCAAGCAACCTGCTCAACAGGTCACGACCATCACGACCTTGTTTTGAAAGTCTCGGGTCATCTCTGCCCTGAGACCTTTTCATGTGTTTTCACCAGTGAAAACTGTGTTTTCACCAGCGAAAACAGTGGGGGGATGCACATGGGTCAGCCATGTGGCATCTTCTTATTGATGTTGAATTAACTTAAGGTTGTTCAAGACTGCGCTGTTCGCCTATTAGCTTGCTGCACAAAGTGCGATTTTGGAATTAGTGGATCATCATATGGGCTTGTGGTTGGAACGCTACCAGTCCACAACAGATCCATGTTGAATGACAAAACAATTTATGCTGGAAGCCGTCAGTC